GCAGTTTACAAAGTTGTTGATATGTCTGGAAGGCACAGAGCCTGGTAACTGACCACAGCATTTCTACTGGTATCCCTCAATGTGCAAAAAATATTGTTTATATATCCACAGGGTCAAGCAAATTGCTGCTTTTATGAATTGGCTTTTACTGTCAAGTGCCTGAAGTGATACCAGCCCTGCTCTCCTTTCTCATCATTTTAGAAGCCTATTTTCTTTAATTTTGTCTCCTACAGAGTTCTGCATGTTTCTCTTAACAAAAAAGCTGTAAAGGTGGAGAATTTGGAAGTTCTGCATCTTTTCTTAAGCTGGTGTGATGTTTTAGGACATTTTTTTTTTTTCCCATATGTAAGCTCATGAGGGAACTAAACAGAACTATCCCTATTTCTTGAAGTCAAAGGATGCTGTTTTGTTATTTCTGCGCAGTAGAGTAGGCTAACCTACAAAATTAAATCACAATAGTCTTAGGACTCTTAGTAGTGAATAAGAAAGAAGTGTAATTGTAATCCTTTTCACTACTTCTCTTTTTATAAGCAGTCTTCTTTAAGCTGTATTTTATTAGTGCTTGCTGCAGACAGCTTCATGGTGTTTTTGTGACAGTCTTTTTTTTCTTCCTTAGGCAGGTTAATATTTCAGGAATACAGGTATTCTCTTAACCTTCTAAAAGTCTCCTTACAACTTTGAAGCCAACTCTAAAATGGTTTTGTTCAGAAACTCAGACACTCAGTTTTGATTCGTGTTTCAATTCAGTTGAAAAATTCTGTATCTCAAAAGAATAATTAAGTAAATATTAAGTGTTTTAAAGCAGGTTAAGGAGTATGACAGTATATCACTTCTGTCAATAAGACTTGAACTCTGGAGCCAAGTGCCCAGCTCCAATGGGAGCAGCATGCCAAATACAAAGCTAGTAGAAAGTTTCACTTTGTCAGTAATGTATATTTAATAGTTTTTACTGTAGAATTTACTTACAAATAAATTCTACCTTACCTTTTTGTAAAAAAACATTGGTTTCCTAGGAAGACATTTCCTGGTGACTCTGTGGCAGATGTGCATAATAAACAGTATTGTGCAGCTTTCCAAGTTCAGTTTTTCAAAACATTAATAAATTACATACTTGACTCATTCATTTTATTAGTGCTTAGTATCTGTAAGGTAAAACATACGCAGATATTCTTCCCAAGAATGCCAAGGCAGTGGAAGGGTTAAAAAAATGTTTATTTCAGATGCACGGACCACTTCTTAACGATGGCATCGAGTGCCAGGGCAAAAGGCAATACCCTGCCCTTTTGTATCTTCTCTCTCTTCTCCTCCACTTTCTCTGGCCTGCAACAGCCTTGTACATGTCTGCAAACATGTTATCTCTCTGCGTACCAAGGAAATAGCTTGCTCACAGCTTCTCCCTGTGACTTTCTCTGAAATTCAGAAGGAAGAAAAAAAAACACCTGACTCATTTGAGAAGGCATTTTGCAGTCTTCCTGAGTGAAGCAAGTTCTAGCTTTCTGTTACAAATTCTTGCGCAGTTGCACCTATCCCTACAGTATCTAATAATGGAAGGGAGAGAGGAAGGAGATTCTTTGGACAGAGACAGTGAAGTTGTACCTACTGCTTTGAAAACTATTGTGGAAACAGCTCACAGACTGATAGATAGGTCCCATGTTTTTAAAAATCTCATCCGAAAGTCTCTGCAGGAGAGATTTAATAATATGGTCTTATTCTTTGCTAAGAAATACCAGATACTAAGTTTTGAAATATCATGTAAATACAGACAAAATTAATCAAGGATAGCAATATTTGAGAGCATAATTCAAGGTTCATAACTTCTGATTCATTATAATCTTGAAGATGTCTCTTCATAAAGATGTATCTGATTGATCGGCAAATTCATCATTTGGTGCCAATTTTTCATAGATACACAAGTGTTGGCATTTATAGATTTTTTTTTCTTTTCGCTAAGTCCACATTGCTGGTATTATTTCCTAATTCTGAATATTTGTGCAGAGGCAATGCATTATGCCCCTTGCATGTTCTCCTCTTCTGAATTCCCATTGTTCTGAATGGTAAGGTAATAACTTCAGTGAGAAAATAGAGGTGTGAGCTACTTACCTAGTAGGAGGACAGTTGCTTATCATGGTTATTTTCTTCCTAGATGTATCTACGAAGACATTTCAGACCTAACTCAAAAATTATTCTGATATTTAAGACTTAATAAATAAGCTTGAAGTAATTTGTTATTTGTGCTAAGAAATTATCATTTTTATAACCTTAGCTACTGAACCCATTATTCAGCATTGTTCCATGAATAAGTCCTGGTGTGCTGCGCTAAAATATGTTATGTTGAAATGCAGGAAAAGACATATCTTCAGGAAAGCACCTGTTATACATTATTAAGGCCAATCCATAGTATTCTATTAAGGTTATGGAAAAAAAAAAAGGCATCTGCTGAGTAGGAGTCAGTTTCTAATTTCAGTTGTCACGTTCTTCACCCCCTTGAATAGTATTCCTGCCATGGGACCTAGATATATACTGTTGTTTCTTCATCCCCTTATCCCCTCCTAACTTACTGATTCAGGCATTTGGATATTGCACTCTAGAAATACATGACTGCTTTCCAAAGGCTTAAAATCATCTCTTTTGATGGCAACCATTTATTTGTTTTGAAAAGTACAATTGAAAGACTAGTAGTTATTTGACTAAACTCTGTCTGAAAAGTTCTGCATTTTTAATGTCTAGGCTGAGTGCATGGCTAAAAGTACAAAAATTTAAACTGCACACTTTGTTTAAATTTAAAGGAAAAAGTCACCTAGAGAACACCTAGAGGACATCCACTTCACAATTAGCCTTTATAACCAACATGCAGTAAGATTAGACTACAGAAGTAATTTGTTTGGGTTTAATAGCTAACTTACCATACAGAGTAATGGTAAGCTAGTTTTTTCCACTTCTTCTGTGTGGTCTCCTCTGACTGAGTGCAGTTATTTTGTGTGTGTATATTTAGGGGTGGAGGAGATATCCCTAGGAGTAACTTGTTTATTAGTTATATCTTCAGATTACTAGGAGGAAAGAGAATAGGCATATCAGTACAGCATGCATGTCTGGTAAGAAACACTCCTGCAATTACAGAGTAACTAGAAACAATAACAAAGATCAAACGTGTCACTGTGTGTTGTTAAGGGATTCTGTGAGATGAAGATGATCAGCTTGGTTTTGTGTGGTGTTTTGGGTTCTTTGTCTTAGACTTTTATGGAGATGAAAACTTACTAGTTTTAAAATCATATTTACTGGGGTTTGAAAATTCTGAAGAAAAAACTTTCAAGAATAGTGTGAGAGTTACATGTATGTATGGTAGGTGCATTTGTTCTAGTTCAAGAAGCATTACTGTTGGCAAACAGTGTTTTTTGTAGGTGTTGTTTTTTGTAGTTGGTTTTCTTAATTTGCCAACTGAATGAGCTACATATTAATTTGCTTCATTTATTGTAATTGTTCCTACATATAAGAAAAAGAATTTTTTCTAAATTCTTTTGCTGCAGTGGATTTTCTTTTTCTCAGAAAATGTTTGAATATATACCTAGACTTTTCTGTCACTAGGTAATGAGCACTGTTTTCTACAGAATTTTTGCAAAGCAACTGTCCTTTTTCCAGTGTGCATATATGTTATACCTACAAGCTACTTATTAAGTTTCAGAAATTGTTATTTCTGAAAATGACTTGTCATTAAATTGTCACTATGTTTTAGAAAGAAAAGTCTGAATTAGAAATTTAAATCTTATATTTTTTTTGAAAGCATCTAAGAACTAGATAGTTTAGCTACATAACAGTTAATATTTTCCAAATAAAACTGTAGTAGCTATGAGTTTTTATTATATTTTTTTAACATTTCATCAGTGTGGTACCTGTACAATAAATTGGTAAATATTGATTTCTAAATGACATTTAAAAAGAGGAAATGCAAACTAAGCTGCAAATATATGTAAATCAAAATTATAACCTACAGCAGTGTTTATGCCTAGTTATTCTTTCTGACAAGGAGCAAAGATATCTGCTTTTTTTAAACCTAGGTCTAAACTTTTTTCTTTTTTTTTTTTTGATAATATTATTTTGATTGTTTATTGCAAAGCTGACGTGTTCCTGCTTGTAGGGATACCTTTATCAGGGTGTGACTTACTTTTTTGGGCGAGAAATCGTTCAGTTACTTTGTCCCCAGTAGGTGAAAATGCCAGGCTTTGTTAATAACAGAGGAATGTGTCCCTTTTTTTCCCTTTTTCAATAAAACTTGAAAGATGAGGTCCTGTAAGTTACAGTAACCTAAACTTTAGTCATAAAATATTTTTGGATATTAGGAGAAAACAAATTGCAATTAAGATGCTGAATGTACAGTACTTTCCTTTGAAAAATAAAGGAAATGTAAACAACCTTTCTTTATGAGTCTGTGTTTCAGAGTTGTGTTTTATCTCTATATTTAATACCAGCAATCATTTTGGATATCGAGATGTGAAGTCGGAGTTGTATTTGTGGATGTTGTTGTTTTTCATATTGTAAGCATGTATCATCCAGGATAATACTGAATTGTTTTCTCAAGTTTTATCTCCTGCAATAATAGACTGTTTTTAAAATCTTTGCTGTGGACAAAAAAAGGATCACTTCAGATTTTTGTTTACTTCATATTATGTTTTGGAATTCTTTATGATAAGAGGTTGGGTTTTTTTTCTGGAAATGATGTTGTAGAAGATACATCCTCTGTCATTTTGCAGGAAAGAATTCCAGCCAGTTAAATACTTCACTCGTTCTGATTAAGTTTTGTCATTGTTCCAATTTATTCTATATTGTAAGCAATATAAATGTTTTAAATTAACTAGTTGTTGTCACATGAAAGTGATTGTACTGCTTGATTGTACTGTTGAATTTTTATGCCAGAAACCATGATGGTTGAATGGCCCAAATGGATGACACTGTATGCCAACTCAGACTTTTGTTATACTTATGCAATTGTTTTCTTGCCTCTCCAGCTGTAAGCACAAGGTGTACTTGGAAACACTACCAAATACTAGCATAATTATCCCATTTCATAATGAAGGCTGGACTTCACTCTTGAGAACAATACACAGTATTATCAACCGCACCCCAGACAGCCTGATAGCAGAAATCATTCTTGTGGATGACTTCAGTGACAGAGGTAAGGCCCAACTGGTTTTGTTTTAACTTGAAATTTATAAATGCTGTGTGATCTATACAGAAACTAAAGGGAAGCAAAAAGAGAGGAGACCAGACCTAGTGGAATGCTTGCCTTGAAGTGCTGTTTGATTGTTAGTGGGAATAAATATTTATAAGTGGCTTTTGTTTTACTTGGCATGAATACTGAATTCCATGTCAAAGGGAAGAGTCTCTGAGATGTTCATTAATATAGTATTTTGAATATATTATTTCTGAAATACTGCAAATTTTAATGTTTCCACGTTTTTTCCTTACGCTTCCCTTTTATTCTGAAAATGTACTATGTTTGACCATTTGGGATGCAACCAAATCATTAGCTTCAAAAATACTAATACAAAATAGCCATACAGAAAATGTGATTCTTTTTGAATGGAATGTGAAAAAAGTGCTTTAGAATAGTTGATCCAAGTTTATGTCATTTACATATACTGAAATTAAGAAAACTGCAATCACTTAATGGCTTCTGCCATTATCGTTTCTTGAATGCAACACAAAAAGTGAATGCCTACAGTTTCGTAAATGAATTTTAACAATTCCTTAGGTAAAATTCATCTGTGATAAGGATATGGAACTGGGAAATAGTTTTTCTTTCAAATTCCAGGACCTCTCGTAGAAGTTTAAGCATAAAGACCTTTGACTTTTTATTGGTGTTCGAGGGGTAGGGTTTCTGTTTCTGTTGAAACATCAGTTGCTGGTGTGTATGTGAGCTTTGTTCTGAGTAGATTGATAGACAACAAAAGAGAGAATTGTACCCTTTATAATATTTTACCTAAAACCTTTGTCTCAGCTACGACCTTAGAGGAGCAAATTTCTGACCTACTGTTGTGAGAAGCCCCTGGATGAGTGAGAGGAATACTAGTAGAGCACTGCAGCAGCAGAATGATTTTTGTAAGATTTTTAACTTGATATTTCAGAGTTTAGAAAGATTAATGCTGCACACATCTATCTTACCCTCTCATATCTACTGATTTACTTGCAATGTCCTTTGATGAACTGCCTCTCAGTCTGTAATGCAATTTAAGAGAAATTGTAAAGTGAGTACAGTTCTGACTATTCTATGTTGATGAAATCTAGACCTTGGATGAAAGTTTCCAAAAAAAGAACTGCAAAACAGCATGACCATTTTTCTGCAGGCTAACAATTTCCTAGTAGTAAACAACTTACGGGGAGGTCTGTAAGTTGGTTTTATTAGGTACATGACAAGTGAAAAATACTTTTTTTATTGAGATGGTAGCTATTGAGGCTATGCTTGCTCAATATGGTAATAATGTAGCATTTTTTTGATGAAGATTATAATGACTATTGTTGATGCCCTTTTAAATATGTTAATGTTTTGTAAAGCTTAGCTACTTCCTGGTTATTAGAAAAAGAACTAATGCCAGTAAACAGGGAATATTTGTAACTTCTGTTGCTATTTTTAGGTTAACTGCCCTAACTTAAATTCTGCTACTTGCTGAAAGTAATATTAATTTGTATAACACTATAAAAATTTCTATAATCTTCTTCATTTCCAGTTATATAAAGCTACCTAACTTTCACTGAAATGCTTTTCAGCTGGAAGAAGTGGTTCATATAGCATGGAAATGTTTAACATTAGTTTGAAAAACTGAAAGACTTGTATGGAACTGGGCCTAGAACTGCTACTCTAGTAGGAGGATTTCCTTCTGTTTATTGGTGTTATTGAAATAAAAATCAGAAATGTGTTTATGAATGGTTGCCAGTTTTCAACTTGAGCACATTTGGTGTGCTGTATGTTTTAAGAAGAGAAAGCATACAAGGAAAATGTGCTGGAGTCTCTACTCGGAATTCAGTAATATTGAATTTCAGGTCAGGTGAATCACTTTGGCCCGTATGCAGTGTTTAATTCTTGTATTTGTGATCCTCTAGACTATACTTAACTGAGATTATATTGTGTTTTCTTGTGCTCTTTTTTCTTTTTCATGAGGTGACCACTGAAATGGAGTTGGATTATTTTATGTTGAAAAAAATGCTGACTGATATCTATCCCTGTCTCCTCCCAGTTCATAGCATAATCTTTTTTAAAAGTAGCAGATGTCTAGCTTACTGTTGTTATTCATTCACCCTTTCACTGCGTTTTCCTAGACTGATGAGAGAAGTAAAGCAGCGTAAAATAATTTTTTACCTAATCTGGCTTCAGTCTAAGTGTGGTCAGATCTTGTCAAAACTCGTAGAATCATTGCAAGCAAAGTTTGCTGCATTGTTGAGGCAGTATAGTAATTAGTGATAAATCTATATCACTTTTTCTTACTGTATATTTTTTTCATTAAATAGCTGACAAATGGCTATTACTTTGTTTTGTGAAATCAATTATATACTATTTAAGGGATATTGTGTATGTTATTCTTATTTCCCAACTTGATATTATAAGGAGAGATTTCTGTTAGGGACCTGAACATCACTTGTAAGTAGTCAAAAGTGAAAATGCGATATTTCAATAACACCAGTATTTTAAAAGTAGTAATTAAATAACCTTTTTCTCTAAAGTGTTCTACTGATCAAACTCTTCCTTTTTTGTAAACATCGAGGAAGTTGTTATGAAAAGTCTGTTTCTATTAGAAATAAAGTAAATAAGAAAAATTAGGAACTTGAAAGCTGTGTAAAAGATGGAAGTTTTTTTTTTAACTAATCCAAATATAAATAGAGAAATACACTTAAGAACTTTTGATAACATATGATGAAAATGTTTTAGTGAACAGCCAGGTACTAAGCAGTTTGCTGGTTTGTCTGCAGAATTACTTGGCATGCCCTTATTTTATTCATATTCACTCATTTGGCTTTTATGATCAAACCCAAAAACTTTAGATAATTTGTGCATAATATTCACCATAAATTATGACATTTAGATGTTATAAAATAAAAAGACAGCTGCACCTTTTTAAATATCAATATAATGCAGACTAGAGGCTTGGTATTAAGAGGGAGGTAAGCAAATGTTAGAAAATTTGAAACTGCAGTATTTGGTCAGATTTAATGGACAGATTTAATATAAAAGACTACATGAGTATAGAAAGTCATCTGTGATAGTCAGAAAGAAATGTAGATTTTAAATATATGTACACAAAGTTGCAAAATTTCTTTGTTCATATAATTTATGCTTAAAAGTGATGAAACAATGGGATAGAGAAATATGGCCAGGAGGCAAATAGTTAGACTTAAACTTAGTTTACCTTAGAAAGCTATGGATAAGGGAGCTAGCTATGACGTGTGCTGTTGAACACTTAAAATTTAAGAATGTTTTTACTCTTCCCCACTGACACAGCAATATGGTTTTCACTAGAGACTTCCACTGAATAACTTAGGTCCAAGTACTGTGGCTTTTTAACAAATTGAATTTGTTAAATTTAATTTAACAACTGAATGAAGGACATGCATTTGCATACTAAAGCGTGCAAAATATTTCTACTTTTTGATGGATTTGGGGTTGCAATCCCAAAACCTCATTCATGTAAAGTTTGTATTCTAAACTCTGTAAGTTAAAGACTTAGCAGTTTCAGAAAGTGTCACCTACCACAAAAATGAACCCTTATATTGGAGGTACCAACATATCTTTGTGTCAGGTATCTCTGCAGTGGCTTTGTGTGCAGCTCTGGTTTTGTGATCCTGGTTTCTGGGAAAGTGAGCCTTGTGGAAAGTGTTTTGTTTTTTTTTTTTCTGGGAGGGTTTGACCCTGAGATTAGCTCATGGGGTTAGAGCATGGTGCTTATAACACCAAGGCTGTGGATTAGGTCTCTGTTGGGCCATCCTTAAGAGTTGAACTTGATGATTCTTGTGGGTCCCTTCCAACTCAGAATATTCTGTGATTCTGTGTGAGGGGTGTTTGAAATGGGAGGAGTGTGGGAGGGGATTGATTTGCGGTTTTGACTTTGGGGATGAGGTGTTTATTGTTGAAATAGTCTCAGCAGACATCTCAGGGGGCAAGAAGCAGAATATGGGCAACAGTTTTAAAGGAAAGAGCAAAATGAAAAAGACACCATATTTTCATTGGTTCTGTTATGGAATATCTTGCATTTACAAAGGAGTACTAAAAATTCTAATTGATGTTCTAAAACTTCGGGGGAACATAGATTTGCATAATTAATTAGTTAAACAGTTCATGTGGGTTGCCAACGTGTGATAGATTTGTGCATCAACCTGTATTTCTTTTGTGTTTTAATTACTTTATTAGCATAGTCAGACCTGTGAACTGTTACTAACAGTAACAGTTAGTACTAACACTACTACAGCATGTGCGCATGAATGTAAAATTAACTTACCAAGCATTTTTACTTTACTCTGTAGTTCTTGAAAGGGTGCAGCACCTATTATAAGAAAAAATAAACAAAGCCACAGCCAACAAGTAAACTTACTAGCAGTAACAATTCTAGAGTTGTATTTTAGTTTGGAAAAAGATTATCAGATTTGCCACCAAAAACAATTGAGAACTTAGTAGTCAGCAACTTCTTGCAGGACAGGACTAGTTTCTGTCACTGGCAATGAACTTGTGTTTTGGTAGAAAATGACAAACTGTGAACTTCTCCTTCATGTTGATGAGCCAGTTTTGCTGTCTGTTATGTTCTCCTATCTCTGTCCCCTTGCTTAGGTCTATTTTCTGCACTGCTGCTCGTTTGAGAGTATCATACTGTCCCATATCTGGTACCATATGCTTTGTGCCAGGTCTCTGAATAGCCCAGATTAAAAATGTGGAAGTCGGTGTGAAAAAGCAACCTATGACTACTTGATCAGAACTCAGTTTAGCTGGTCAATGAACTTCAATGCTAGTGATGTGCTTTGGTTTGTGTGAACATGGAGGAAGATCTGATCTATAGCATGTAAGATGAAATTTCCTGTATTTTGTTCGCAGACAGTTTATGTAACAGGTCATTGTGATTCCAGTTTACGGATGCTTGGCTTCAGATCATGGCTGGATATAACTCTTCTGATGAAATGAAAGAGAAGGCTATA